TAAAACAAGTTTTAAAAGATGAAGGAAACTGAAGCAGCTTTACAGGCATTCACACTCCCTCCCCCTCCAGTACTGAAGGCAGAGGTCTCCTATGATTGCTGCACTTTGCATTTGGATTTGACTTGCATAGATTGGCCATTTCCTGCTCCCGCAGGTGTATATATTTTTCCAAGACTGGAGAAAACACAGCTTTTATTAACTCACACAAAATGCTTACACAAGCTCTTAAATACTCAAAGATGATAAATTCATTCATTAATGAATCTGTTTCTCTGAACCGGAGAATATACCACAATCCTAGTGGGCAAGGCAGACCAGGAGACAGGGAGAGAGAAAATATGCACTGGAACATTTCTGTATTTTGACAACAGCTATTAATATATTACAAAGAGCACATTGTCAAGCTATTTAGGTTGCAACTTTTAACTTGCCCTCTAAAATTCCTTTGTAACAAAGAGGAAATAAGTTTAGCCCAGCTGCAACTTTATTCCTTTCTTCCATGCTTTAAATAAAGAACCACCTTGCAATGAGCTCTTTGCCTCTCCGATTTCTCCAGTCCAAGGTGGTCCAGCAGGCAGGCACTGGGTAAAGGCTTAAAGCACCCTCTGCTATTCCTGGCTCTGACACTGACCTGCTGCACAGAGGGCAGCTTGGCTGACATCTCTCTGCCTCCGCTTCCCCTCCCAGCCCTTGTTTACCCTGGCTATTTAGGCAGCAAGCTCGTCAGGGCAGAGACTGCTCTTGCTGGGCCTGTGCAACAGCTGGCAAAACAGACACAGGCTACCAGACACAACTGTAATATCACTATACTCACCAAAAACCCCAAAGGCTTTGTGCTACTGCTCAGCTACAGTTTAGCTGCAGAAAGTGTTCTTAAGCTTTAACTTTTCTGTGATATGCTGCCATGCATTTTTGGAACAAAAATGCTCTGTTCACCTTACGTCATGAAGACAGGGCTCGACTCTTGCTTCAGCAGCTCCTATGACTGAGTGAACCAAAAATCTCCAGCATAGGGACTATCTTTTTACCATCCCCATGACAAGGTCTTGTTGCAGTACAGGTCTATACATAAAATTAACATGACTATACAGAACAAGTGCAGCCTGACGTAGAGAGACTTGTAGGACAGGTGCCAAGAACCACATCCATCTAAAACCACTCTATACTTCCATAATACCAACACAATATTATATTAAGCATTTGCTTACTGCTGACTCAAAGAAGAAACAGCACATTTCTAACACTAAGAATGTGCTTTAAGAACCCTTCCAAGTCAGGCCCTGCTGTCCCTAATACACAGTAATTCACACTGATGCAAAGCTAGTGATTGCCCCCCTGCCACAAGGAATGAAGTGTACAGAAACATTACTCAAAGCAAACTTTCTTCTTCCACAAGCACACAACTGAATCGATACCTTAAAAACTTAACTTTGCTTACATCCGCAGCTCCCGATTAGCTGAATGTACCAGAAAGGGCAAATATGAGATTGTCAATGTTGTGAACGTGCCTTTCAGCGTAACAGCTAGTGACTGGGATTAAGTCCACATCTTCCTTTGACAACATTAGCAAATCAATTCAACATTTTAAGCCTAACTACGTGTCCTGAGATAACCATAGCTGGCAATTTTTAAAGGTAAATAGTCAGGATGAGAAGTAGATAATTTTTAAAATTAAATCAAATTGTTTCGGGTATACTACAATTTCTCTTTTCCATGCTGCTAACAGCTAGGGTTTTGCAACCAGTTTCTTATAAATTTTCTGTCTTCCCTATTTCGGCATAAAGAAGTTTTATAAGCAAGCTGACTGCACAAACAGTTGCTTCATGTACAAGCTAAAGCCTGTTCCCTCTGATCTTCTTGTTACTATTATCTGAAGATACACCTAACAGAAACAACATTTTAAAGAAATGGTGTCATTTTCAAGTTAATCACCCTTTTAAAAATGGGGAAGTGGAGGCGGGGGGATAAGTTTCACAGCTATCTTACACTCTAGCCTCAAATTTATCTTTATTTACAAAGCATTAACAGATGGCTTATCAAAAGCCCTTTAACAGCAGAAATGATCAAACTACGCTGAATTTTTTTTTTTGTTTTAAACAGTGAATACTCCCTAGACTAGTTTTTAACTTATGCCAGCCTCGCAGGGACCATCAGTCTAAGATCTAATGTTAGAACCATGCACGTTATTTCGTTAAGTACATTTACCATAAACGGTTCCAGCCTTTGCTTTCTCAATTGTGGACAGTATTGCACAAAAACCTCTTAAAAGCAAAAACCAGTGTTCACCTCATGCAACGTTATCCAGAACGTGCAACAGAAGCTTCAGCTCTTGAGCGAGTCAAAGCCAAGCTTGACAAACTCAAGATTTACGCTGTATCACTAAGAAAGCATAGTTATCAAGAAGGTCCAGCTATCCATCATCTTCATCATCATTCTATTTACCCAGTGATATTTTAGCTTAAATACCTACTCAGCTCAAATTTAACCTCCAATGAACAACCTACCAGGTTCCTACTTAGAATTACTATCAAGAATAAAGACTGCATGCCAAGAAGCTTACCTCAACCACCTCGCCAACATGTATTGGTTAGTCAAATAAAATATAACCTCTCTGCAAATCTTACTCCCTCAATTGCAAGAGCAGCAATCTTGGAGATTGCTCTTGATCTTGGACACATGCACGAGGAGCAAGTGGTATGGAAGAGACACGGCTGTTTAAAACCCTCAAGCTGCCACAGAGACTATTAAACTCTTCTTCAGCTAAGTACAAATTTTACAGCTGTACCGCAACTCAACACATGCACTCATGCTGGTTCTTCCAGAGATGTACAGATACCCAAACCCCCTGGTACTGCAGTACGCTCTTGTCTTTTATCTTATTACTGGAGAAAAATTCCTGCAACTGCCTGCAGATGCCAGATCTCCACACAGGAAAAATAAGTGCTTAGTTTTCAGGTATTCTCCATAAGACCTGGCATACTGTTTCAAAGAACTGAAGATTGTCTGAGCCTTCCATGAAGTTAAAAGTAATTAAAGGATTCATCCTCCAGATATATCTCAAGGTTCCTGCATAACCAGCTTGTAATGTCACTTGGTGTGTTACCCATGATTGAACTCCCTAGGACTAGGGCAGTGCTGACCAATGCTAAAAGCAGCACTCAGTACTAGAGTTGTTTAAAGAAAACTTGAAAATAGGAATCAGCACAAAAGCACATCCTAGAATTACTAAAAAAACCTGTTCATAGCAAACCTAACAGCATTGAAATCCCTGGGAGCTTATGATACTCAAGCAGCCTTCCCTTCACTTAAACCCTCTGACCTAGCAAACCTCTTCTGTAGCTGTTTATAGACCTGCATTCCTCTGCAGGGGAAGTGGTGGTCCTTACATACGCTGCACCTGCTCTGCTGTACACCTGATCCCTCCTGCAACTGAAGGAGCATAGTATCACCTTATTCTTAATGAAAAATACAGAACTTCATTTCCTGAGGAGACAAAATCATATATCACAGTAGACAGAGTCCAACGCACAGCCATTTTGCAGCACTTATTCCTGCT